CAGGCACTCCCTTTTATGTAACACCGTCAGATACTTTCTCTCTAGATTTTTCAAGTGCCCATTGGAGTTTTCAAGTTCATGTTAGGACCAATATAGCGTATACTAAAATACAATCTAATAGAGGAGAAACAAACTCTTGCTCTTAGTTATTCAGGGTAATGAAATTACTTAAATTAATAAAATAAGTGTTATTCATTGTTTGAATACACGGTTACACTGTGCATACATAAGCATACATAAGTCTGTGCACAATACGGCGTAATTTAATGCAAGGAACTAAAAATCTGAGACCAGCATAGCTAGTTTCAATTTCTGGTATTTCTACCAGTAACAACTGAACTTATGCAAAGTTACGATCTCCATGAAAACCAGAGATCACAAACCTTACAAGAAAAGTAGCTACAGTTGAGGTCTGTAGAATGTTAACATTAGGCCCATAAAATCAATATTAAATAAAAAGATGAATGACAGCTAAAATTGTTAAGGGAAAAGATCTGCTCATTTGCAGAAACAAGTTAACATTAGTCAGGCACTTCCTTTTACATCACACTATCAGATAACTTCTCTTTAGATTTTTCTGGTGCCCTTTAGAGTTTTCAAGTTCATGTTAGGACCAACATGATTTTGGAGACAGAGGTGCTTCTCTCAGAGTGACTCTACCTCCAGCCAAAGAGGTCTTCCTGAACATGGGCAACTCTCCTCTGAGTTTCTGTTCCAGGTTTGGCAGCATGAACCCAGTCTCTGTACTCTATGCATTTGGACGCCAGAATCTATTCCAAGTTGACTATGCAATTAATATAATAAATCAGTGGCAGAACATTAGTGAAAACTCTTCAAGAATAATATTTGAAAAAAAACTTTTAAGTGTCCACCTTGAAAATCTGATGAAAAACTTCAGCAGTATAGATTGCAATTGCCAGAATGCAGACCTCAAGGGGCAGAAGATGCCCATTTTATTCACTGTTGTATATCCTGCAATTTTATGTGTCTGGATCATGGTGGGAAGTAGGAAATCAAATAATATTTGTTGAATAGAAGTGAATATTAAAATGGTGAAAAAATTAAGCGCCTAAAAATAAACTCATGGGTCTGCACACACTTAAGCAAAAATATGAACAAATAAAAACATTACTTAACTTTGGGGATATTTGGGTTAAAATATCCAAATGTGATGCTACAGCCAAGGTAATGGTTGACATAAAATAATTTTGGGCCACTCCTAAGGAAATAAAAGCATGTGAACAATGATATTGCCACTATCACTTTCCACACTATTCTGATAAATATCCACAATATTTCTATTTATGGGATGTACTTAACTACATAATACAGAGGTGTTTTTTTGGTAATTTGAGAAATTAGTGTATTTCATCTTCCCTTGTGAAATAGGAAAGGCTGATATCATTACTGCTAGTTCACAGATGAAGAGATTTAGGCTCAAGGATATTAAAGGTCTTATAAAGATACACCAAATCAACACTTAAGTCTCTGTTTAGGAAAAAATGTAAATAATTTTTTTAAAAAGAACTATAAAACAAAATACAACAATAATGATACAACAAATGTATCCAGATATTACTCAAAGTCCTTTCACACTGAGCTCTTACCAATGACATTGCGAGGTTTGCAGTGGTTTTAATTCAATTTCTCAGAAGTAACAGCAATGGCCTGGTAAGACTAAATAACCTTCACTCACTCATCTATGTATCTAGTAAATTGTGGAGGTGGGACTCAGGCCTATGCTTCTGACACCAAAACATACCTCAGAAAGCCTGGGTGCCCATTGCTCAATTCTTAATCCTGTCTTTACCCTGACTTCTATAATTGTGTGTTGAGATAATGCACAAAAATATACTATCTAACTGTATCTTTCTGTATTCGTTATTATCAATATTACACATCTGCCCTAGAAATTGCATATGCAGTTGGAATTTTTTTTTTTCATTAATGGTGGTGGCGGGATGCATCTACCAAGATTACCTAGATCCTGTTCTAACTGTTAGCTTTAAGTCAGACACCCAATTAAGGAGGATATTTGTGCTTGTGACCCTCACAGACCAACTAATTGCGTGTGTCAACTAACTGGTTGTTGATATGCACTAGTGTAGACAGAAAGGCAGGAATGACCCCTGCAGCTCCTCACAATTCCCAGCAGCCAGCGATATTCGTCTTCTATGCAAGATGCTGGGAAACTTCTCGAGTGCAGTAGTAATGTTAAGGGCACCACTACCCTACCGACCTCCTCTGTCTCTTAACTGTTGCATAGGATTATAAACTTTCCAACAGACATTCACAATGTATGCTCAATTCATGTGCACATGTGAACTCGGTGGTCTCTCAAATATTTAGTATGGGTAAATTTCATCTTAGCTCTTATCCTTTTCTCCAAAGCTGAAGCTTAAGCAGACACTTTGATGAGAAAAGTAGACCAGTAATTAATTCATTTAAGTATTTGAGTGTCCTCTGTCTATGAGGACACAGTACTAAGTGCCTAGGGATTTTGCTATACTTTGAATATTTTAAGTTGCTAAAAAACATGCAAGTTAATAATCTAGAGTCCCTTTTTGTTGGTTGGTTGATTGTTTACTTGATCGGTCGGTTGCTTAGATGGTTGGTGGTTTGTTGGAAAGAAGGATGGGTCAGGACATAATAAAGAATACAACTCTTGCTTTTTCCTTACATACACTCATGGCTTAATCTCCAACCCCTTTAATGTTAATTTTTTGCATTCAATTTTGCCCTTGACAGACACAAGGAACTCATTGTAGAGAAACAAGTTTCTTCTGAGCTAAAGCTGGTTTCCACAGTGCTAAATTGCTCAATTAAAAGCATGCATTGGACCTTAGGTGCATACAGGGCGACTGTGCTCATGCCAGCCACAGGTCACTCAAAGTCGGAAGGAGTAAGACATTTGTACTGCACATAAACAACACCAGGCCATGCCATGCCATTTTATTTTATGCATTTTTGGTTTCCATTTAGGAAAAAAGAAAATATCATTATCTTGTGGCACATATTTTTAAAGTCAGTGGATTGTGTTGGTTGTTTTCAGTTTGAAAACTACTTTTACATGGATGATTGTGATTGCGTGGAGCTTAGATAAATACTCAGGTCCATGAACAAATATGTCTTAAAGCATCCTTTACCCTTCTCCTCCTTGAGTTTCTTTAGATGTGGGGGATATAAGAAGGAAAATGCTCCCTTATGTTTGCTATACAGGGACATTGGCTAGCACAGTCATTTCTAGCATTCCAAGATTTGTCTCTTTCAAAACGTAAAACACACAAGCAAAACACCAATTAAGTTAACAAGTATTAGAAATTATAACACGTGCTCATTACTTACTTTGTATTGTTCGGAATATATATGTATATATTTTAAATCAGGGTTAATAGAGTTGATTGCATTCCCCAAAACCCAGGATGTTAAACCTAGAACTTATCGCAGATAAAGGATATTTTAGTTCTGTATAGTAGTAAGTTTTTAAAAAAATAAATACTTTGAAACTATTTTAGTAAAGACCCTAAACTATCCAATACAATGCACATTAGAATTACCCATAGCCTAGAAAAAAACATTTCTGAAGTAAAACTTAGTATTTGGGATCCGCAGTTCCAAATAGTAGTACGTTTCTATTTTTCTTTTAATGGTCATGTTCAGTGGTCAAAAAACAAAACACACTATTTTCCGAATTTTTGTAAAGGGACTGACTAATGGCAGGTCAGAGCTAGTATAGTAATTGAAAAATTTCAACTGCTCAGGAAGCATCACTATGCCAGTGCCTTGCACTGCTCCTGGCATATTCTGTTAGTTCCTGGAAAGGGTGTGAGTTAGACGTCCTCAGAGATCAGGGCTTCACTCTTGCGGTTGAAAGTGGAAGATGGGAGAAGTTAAGAGACCCATGTGATGTCAGGACTTCACCTGTGGCTCCCTCAGTGACTGTGTCTCTACGAGCCCGATGGGTTGGGAACGGAGGAGGGCAAATGAGATGAAGAGAACAATAAATGGGTTTAGTTTAAAAGGTGAACAGCTGTGTCAACCCTCAAAGCTCAAGAATTGTCCTACGCAGCCACAGACCAAACCTTGGTGGTGAGTGCTGTACATTCATGGCCCTGAGTCCATGCCCCTTCCACTGTCTTTGCCTTTTGCAATCTTTGGGCTTCCCACATTCAGCCTTCCAGAGTGTGTGTGTGTGTGTGTGTGTGTGTGTGTGTGTGTGTGTGTGTGTTTTAATTCATTTGAGATCAGAGCCCTGAATCTCCCAGGAAGTTATCTGGACTGGGAACTGAATCTCGCTCAGTGTCGGGCAGGCAGGCAGATTAGGGAGCAAGTGGGAAGAAACTTAAGTGTCTGCTGTTGTTGCTAACTGACCGTCCTTCTCACTCCTCAAACCTTCAGCGAGAAGTCATAGCTGGACTCTGCCCCAATCTAGTAGAACCCTTCAGACTTGGCAGACCCCATGTGGAAGAATCCAACTTAGGCATTAAAACTTGGAGGCTCCAGGGTAACAGGCTCTAGGACATTCATTCCCTAGTGGTCCCTGCAGTCTACTCTTGAGATTCGGGCATACTTGCCAGTGCCCAGAGCCCTGGTTGCCAGGCACCTGGGCTGCGGATCTGGACTGCAGGACGCCCACCCAGGCGGTTGGGAGAGCTCATTTCTGTGCCCAACTCCAGTGGCTGCAGCGGCGCGCGATCCCTTGCCCAGAGTAGGGGTGCCGGTCCCTGTGAGCCTGGATTCCCGGCACTATCGCCCTCTTTACTGGAACCCAGATTGAAAAACCCGCCAACTGTACCTCCCAGGGAAGCCTGGCGCCCTCCAGGAGGAAAGCAGTGACTCGGCTCCCCGTTTTTTGTGTAGCCTCCCGTGCGCACTGACCTCCACGGTCCCCAGCTCCTGCCCCTGCGCCAGCGCGCGCCGCCTCGCCGGGGACCCGCTACACCCGCCTTGGCGCGGGGAGCGACCACGTCTCCCAAGCAGGCAGCCTGGAGCTCACTCACCGATCCTGAGTACTTGCGGGGCGGTCTGAGGGAGGACGTAGCAGAGGAAATAGAGGAGTGCCCAGCTGGTGTCCCTGGTCCAGAGCCCGGGCTGGGCGAGGAGTGTACCGAGCTCCATCTTTCTCGCTTCTTAATTCATGCCGAGATACAGCCGCTGCCGCACGCCCGAGAGATGCACCCAACTTGGGCCGGGTCCCCGCTTCATCCTCTCTGGATTCTCCGGTTCCAACCACGCGGCGCGCTCCCCACGAAACGAGCTCGAGGGAACCCGCGTGGGAACGCAGAGCTGGCTGGCAAGGCTGAGCTCGCTCGGGGCTCCTCGGTGCTGTCGCTAGCCCATCACCACTCCTCCTCCTCCTCCTCCATGGGCCGCGGACCGCGAAGGATCAGCGCGCTCCGGCTCCCGGAGCCCAGAGACCAGCTGAGGAAAGTTGGTGCCCCGATCTGCGGGAACGTCTCCCTCATTCGTCCTCTGGTCAGATGCAAAAGTGGGGGGTAGGTGCAGACAGAGGAGGGGAAAGGGGGAAAGAAGACTAACGAAGAAGGAGCGAGGGTACTGGGTGAGTTGGTGCAGGGGCTCTGAGCTACCCTGATGAGCTTCAGCAGGTTAACTGGGAGCGGAGCCACGTTCTTGATTTCCTCAATCCTTGCTTTCCTCCTCCCCTCGCTGGCCGCACCCTTTATTTACTGCCCGCCCCAACCCCACCGATCAAGATAGGCGCGCGCGCGCGCGCGCGCGGACACATACACACACACGCGCGCACACACACACACACACACACGCTCTTTTTCTCTCCCTCAACTTTGCGTTCTGCTGCTGGGAAGTCGATCGAGTGTTGCATTCTCTAGACAGATCAAATCTAAACTATTGGTCCGAGCAGAGGCAGCCTCTGCTGTCCGCTGTGAGTGTCAGGGAAGCCTCCTTGGTAATGTCGCTGCGCACCTGTTAGGGGGTCTTACAGCCAGCCAGCTATGTCCCATCATTTAATGGAAAATCGCCTCCAATATTTGGAAAATATCAGGGCTCCTGTTTTAGCTCTGACAAGGATGAAGAAGAATAGGAGAAGGAAGAGAGGAATGAGAAAGCTGCAGTACTCCAAGATTATAGTGGCTTATTTCCTTTTTGGACCTCAGATAATCTCTTGCAAATTGTTTCCATTTGCACGTGCCACTGAGATAGAAACAGCCTCCAGCGCCGCTGCTTTTCTTCATTTCTTTTAACTGTAAGGTTTGAACACTGAAAGACAGGCTATTTTAGCAATGTAGGTCTGGAGACTTTCTCTATAGAAGGACAAGGACACTTCCCTAGGGAAATTAGCATTCGATTATGTTGGCTTAATTTCCTTTGAGTTTTGTGGGGAATATTCTATATAAATGTTTGCCAGTTCTGTATTAACATCTCTCTTTTGTTTAACTGAGTATAGGTTTTGAAGAACTGACGTAATCTGTGTGAAAAAATATGTCTACAGTTGTCAAATGAGCCCAGAGTGGGAAACAATTACAAAAGGAATCTAATATATATTAAAGCGCATTCGTACATTCATTCATTCAACAAATACTCACTGAGTATCTTGTATGTGGTGTCAGACACTATACTTTTCACTGAAGACCCTATAGTGGGGAAAATGTACCATTTATTCTCCAAGGAAGGTTAGAACTCCACTATGGAAAGCTAATCAGCTCATATCTCAATCAGCTTGATTCTGGACACTTTGGGATGAGAGTTAACAAAACAGAATATTTAAGCAGATAAAAGAGGGTCTGATAAGGATTTAGAATGCATTTTTGCTTGGAAAGATTGAGGAAACCAAAAGAATTAGGAGCACATGCTGGTTATCTTTAGGCATTTGAAGAGCTCTTGTATTAAAAGAAAGTAGCCTTATTCAGTGTTAGTTATGAGAGAAGAAATAAGAAAAGTAAGATTGTCAGAGGGAAATTGCAGAAGAATAAATTTTATCTCATTTGGGGAGCATTTTTTAAGACCAGAAAATATCAAGTAGCAGCAAGGTTGGGTGTGTTGGCTTACACTAGGGCACTTTGGTGAGGCTGAGGAGGGAACGTGACTTAAAGTCAGAAGTTCAAGACCAGCCTGGGAAACATAGTGAGACCCTTCCTGCGCAAATACAAATTAAGAAAAACAGTAATGGCATGGCTTGCTTCAGAAGAGTCCAATTTTTTATTTCTTTATGCATATTTTTGAGAGCCCACATTGTGTGAGATGTTGTGCCAATCTCTGCAGACACAGAAGGTTACGATTGCTGCCATTGCGGAACTCATAGGCCTTAAAGTAGTATGACGAGCTTTACAAAATGGTGCTATGAAAGTAAAGAATAAAAGGAATGTGACCTCATTTAAGAGTTTGGAAGGAGCTTGTTGAGGAGGTGATGCTTCAAAACTCAAAGAATGGGTGGTTTACAAGGGATTAGTATTTCTTAAAGTGAGAATGAATATAAAAGCTATTAGAGGGTTTATTTTTAAATCTAAAGGTCTGTGGTAAGCATTTCTAGTCATCCATTTTCTCTAGGTACCTCCAAGATCAATACATAGTGGATATTGCATGGCTGAAGTTCGGAGACCCAAGGTCTAGAATAAAGTCAGCTTGTGAACAAACTGGGTTTAAATTCTGGTTTTACCAATTCTAGGTTTTTAGCTTTGGTTAAATTTCTGTATCTGTCTGTAGTCCACTGTTGGTGCTTAGACATATCTAATTTATCCATTCTCTGGCTCATGAAAACCTGTACCTTTTCAATTAGTCAGAATCTACCTTTTCAATTAGTTGGAAGCATGTGGCCATTTTTGGCCAATAAAATGTAAGTGGAAGTGCACCATGGCCAGGAGAAAAGGAAGATCCTGCGTGGTCATCCACTGCTCTCTTTCCCTGCCAGAGTAACTCTGAAAGCCACAAGTTCTAGGGGTTAACATGAAAGCAGCCTCAATTCCTGAGTAATTTTTTGTAAGCAAGTTGCTCTGAATTTTTCTAGAAGAGTGACACACTGGTAACAAATCATCCCAGCTCAATGTTATGTTTTAATCCACTACAATTTTGAGATGTTTGTTACTGCAGCATAAGCTACTCTGTGCTAACTAATGAACTCTCTGTGACTTGATATCTTTATCTGTATAACAAGAAAAATAATAACAATACAGAGTCATTGGAGGAGTATATGAGCTATTGCATGTGAAGTATTTCCCAACGTCCTTGTTACTCAGTATATATTAGTTTATTTGTGGTCATTATTTTTCTGGTTAAAGGAATCCATGCATCCATTTCTAGTAATAATCTATCCCAAATTGCAGAGACTGAAATATTTTGTTTTTTGGGCAAGAAGTCAGCAATATTGGTCCAATTAATTATATGGGAATCATAATTGGGCTGATATTATTTCAAGAGTTTTGCTACTTTTTACTTGTATTACCTCTGGTTCATAAGGAAATAGTTCATTTTGATAATTAGAAATATTAGAGAGATTTCCTAAAGCAAGTTTCTTGAAAACTAAATGGCACATTGCAGTTACATTTCTGTGTCATCTGTAAAATTCTGTAAGGCTTAAAACTGAAATGTATTTCCTTGTTAAAATGCTTCTCTCCACTGCTCATGTACACAGGCTCATGGTGTTGAGTTACTCATGAGTGATCAGCAGCTGCTGCTAATTTGTTTTGTGCTTTGTAGAAGGACTGTATTTTGTACATATATTCATCCAGTTATTTTTTGCCCAAAATGACTCTGGTAATCACTCTTGATTCACAGTTTCTCATAGTGCCCTCTTAAGAATAAACATGTCTAATTGAATGCATGCTATCTTTTTCCCATTCCCCAAATCTTAAGCTGAAATTTGAGACACCGCGGTTAATAATAAAGCAGTACAATGGCATGCAGCATTGTGCTTCCTGTGAGAGCTGGTGGCATTACTTAGATACTAATCCATTTTAAATTACTTAATTTTTAGAAGATAACTTGATACAAAGAAAAATAGCTTAGAGTAACCTGAGGAATGCAAATGTACAGTTTTTTCAAAATGTTGTGAGCATACTTGAATATACTTAAAATATTACTCAGGGCACCAAAGCCAGAAGTCCAAGCGGCTTTTAGAGCCTGCTGGAACTTTGTGGCTGATTTAGGGTCAAAGTCTTGAGTTCTTACCTACTTCTTTATGCTTTTTTCACTGGGTGATATCACATATTTCTGTGATGTTAAATACTACCTTTAAGCCAAAGATTCTCAAATGCTGTCTTTTGCTCAGACCTCCAGATTCATGCAGCCAATTTTAATTATCATTTCAACATCTCAAATCTTTGATTCTGTGCCATGTCATTGCCTCACACTGAATCCTCTCCCAAATTTTCTCATTTCAATATGAATACCACCTTCCATCCAGCCATTAAAACTGGAAAATCAGGATGTCACCCTTCATTGTTTTCTTACTTCTCCACCTACTCCCATATCAGTTTATTTTTATACACTAATGGCTTTATCTCCAGAACGTGTCTTTAGTCGACTTTTCTACATTCCTCTAATATCATACTAGCTTGGGGTTTCTCAGCCTCAAAACTTTTGATATCTTGGGTTAGAATATTATTTTTTATGGGGGCTGTTGTCCTGTTCATTGTGGGACTTTTAGCAACTTCCCAGGACTCTCTCCACTAGATGTCAGCAGTATCCTCATCCCAAGGTGTGACAACCAAAAATGTCTGCAGACATTCTCAAATAAAAGCCCTCTGATATACAAAATTACCCCGGATTGAGAGCCATGGCACTAGCCTAAATCACCAAGATCTTCCATCTGGTCTGTTACAATAGACCCTTAATTGTCTCTCTTGTCTCTTTTGCCTCTTTGTATCAATTCTGTCTGTTTGATCTAAATTAGCTCCTCCCATTAGCTCTCTTCACAATACCCTTCTTAGATCCCTCCTGGTCATTATTAACTCTCTACTTGTTTTATTTACTTTATTACAAATTCTCTGATAGACTCTTTGCTTTGTTTGCCTGAAATTTTAATGTGTAGCACTGTGCCTGGTGCTTAGAGGGAGCCTGACTACTACTCATTGAATGAATAAATGAATGGACGATGATCTCTCATAGATGTACAACCTATAAATTGTAGTAGCAGATTTGTAAGATTGAGCTGAATGAGGAGCCT